AAAAATATAATTTTTTTCTTTTTTATCTATTTTTTAAATAAAATATTTAAAAATAAAATAAAATATTTAAAAATAAAAAAAATTTAAATATCTGATTATTATATATATTTATTAAAAAATAATATTATTTATTAACAAATAAATTTAAAAAAGGATTAAACTTAAATAAATTTAAAAAAGATAAAACTTAAAATGTTAAAATTCTTAATTATCTACATGTGAATTAATAAAAAGAGATAATTTTCCTTTTAAAAAAATATTAATAAAAAGAGATTATATAAAACAAACGTTCTATTCTCCGTAAATAAATTCTCAATTTTCCCTATAACCATATAAAAAATATATATATATAGTTTTTTCTTTTTTTATCCATCTCTTAAATAAAATATTATATATTTTTTGTTTGAAAATTTATGTTTTAAAAAATATATCCAATCAAATTATATTTTTTTCTCTTTTTATCTCTCCCTTAAATAAAATATTTGAAATTATAATCAAAATAAAATCAAAATATTTAAATTCAAATGTCTCATCATCATATATATTTGTTAAAAATAAAATTTAAAAAAATAGACTTAAAATTTTGAAATTCTTAATTATCTATGCGTATTTATTTAAAAAATATTTTTTATAAATTATATCCAATAAAATGTATTTTTTTAATGGACTATAATTAAGATTATTTTAGATATTTCAAATTTCATTAAGAGCGTTATCAAAAATTATATTATCTCTTCATATTCCATATATAGTATAGATTATAGATAATTTAAATAATTATTTATATATATATATAAATTTTTGTATTCGCCATAACTAAAGATATTTTATAATATCTCAACTTTCATTAATGATTTTTTAGAAAATCTCTTTATTTTCCTAGATTTGCACTTTTCTAGATTGATTTTTTTTTAAAAAAATCCAAATTGTATAAATTTCCTTTTGGCTAGCAAGTCATTTTGAAATGAAAGTGTTGGTTTTTTTATAATTTTACACTTAGAACATTCAAATGCTTAATCATTTCACATGATTACCTGTGCGAATTTCCTAAAAGTGCCTGTATTCTTCGCATTGAGCAATTATAGTCGGTTTCATTGATCCCACTCAAGTTGAAAAAATTATATTTATAATATAGGTTTAAATTGATAAAAAAATTTAAAAATTACATGTCATGTAAAAACTTTTTGGAGTTTTTAATCTAACCCCACTAAAAATTTATATTAAATAAATGACTCTACCGAAAAACATTTCAGACTCAAAACACTGAATTTTTGGATTGATATTGAGATAGAATATACTGAAAATGGCGACAAACTATATCGATATGTTAGCTCCTTGATGTTTGCTTGTTAGTATTCTTGGCCAGAAAAATCCCAGAACTGCAGAAAATTCAAGTTTCAAACTTCAAAAGTAAAGGTCTCTAAGGACTAGTGAGGTTACTTGAGGTCATCTACTGTTGGACTTGCCACCAAATTATATTTTACGTATAAAGCAGGTAGCTAATACCATATTATAAAATGTCCCTGCTATAATAGCTATATATAATAATAATAATAAATCATTTAGTAATAATGGGGATATTATCATGGGGCTGCATCTCTCTCTTTTTTTTAATATAATCACTGGTATCCAAAAGTCTACTGAATTCAGACTATATTCAGTTCAAGTATTGCAGAGCTCATATAGGAGACGACTCTCTCAACGTAGCAATTTTCACACCCAAAATTCGAACTCGAGAAGGAAGAAAGACTATATCCCTTTCTTTAATCATAGAAGCTTCATCAAATTCTAGCGGTGGTTGTTAAATTAAATCACTCTTTTTGCTGGCTAAATGGGACCTTAAATTGTACCTTTTGCCTGCCACTCCAGCGGGTATCATTAGCTATGGTTATGGAAAAGATATAAATTTTTTGCCTTTATTAATTATTTTCCCTTTCAAATGTCAAAAGAGAGTTTTGGATTAATCTAAAAACTACTAAATAATTAAAATCTGAAAAGCTTTCTTTTCAAAAAATTTCAGTTCCTCTATGCATAATAAACCAAAACTAGTCTGTGTGCACGTAGATTTTGGAGAGACCGGAAATTCGACGAAAAAGAAATTAAGAGGGAGGGGAGGGGACCATAAAGCGCAAAAGGAGGACCATAGATACATACACACTTACATATATATACTACAAAAACAATCAAAATTATCTATTGAAAATTCCGTGGATAAATTTTGAAATTCTATCGGTAATTATGAATACCTACAGAATAGCGATAAAATTTTTTTATCGATAAAGTCCTTGTTGCTAATTTTTTTCGACTAAAAAAATTTTTCTGTCGGTAAATCAATTAATTTTTTGGGTAAATTTGAATTCCAATTGGTTATAAATTTATCGTTAACTTTTACAATAATATTTAATTGGTAATCTGTTGATATTTTTGCAAAAATCACTCGTCATTATTTATTTTTAATTCTTTGAAATTAAATTATTCGGTCGGTAACTTATTGAAAAAAAATCGGTAATATTAGCTAGAATTGCAATTTTTATTTTTATTTTTAATTAATGAACTAATTTCATTTTAGCACTGATTAAATTTTTATAACTAATTTAAATAAGAAAATTGAAAAAAGCACAAATAACAAAAATAAAAGAAAAGATGGAGATGGAAATGGGGAATATGAAAAAAGAAGAAAAGATGAGAAAAAAAAACAAGAAAGAGAAGGAGAAAATTTATGAGAATAAAAAAGAGAAGAATAAGAAAAAAAAAAAAAAATTCAGCAGATTTGAGATGCATAAAGAGATGATGAGATGATTGCCTTATGCAAAGGCCTAGTCAGAGATGGTAAGAAGAAGAGGTTTGTGATCAGAGATGATGGCTGATTATACTTTAAGAATCGAATTTGTGTGCCTAAGATTTCAGACTTGAGGAAGAGTATCTTAGAGGTAGGTCATAGGTCATAGTAGTTCTTATTCTATGCATCCTGGTGTGAATACTCAAATTTTGAGGCTCAAAAAGCCAGTTTTCCCGGACTGCGAATAATAATTTGTGTGCCTGTTTTCCCAGACTGCAAACAGTCCAAAAAAAAAATGAATGAGAAAGTAAAAAAAAAAAAAAAAGAAAGACAACAAGAAAGAAGAAATGAAGAAGAAAAAAAAGGAGAAGAAAGCTAAGGTAAGGAGAAAAAAAAAATGAATGAGAAGTCAGATGAGAAAAAAAACACAGGGTTAGTATTTAAAAATAAATTTTCAGTATTTAGTGACATAATTTGTTGTCGCTAAATATTATCTCCACACCCCATTTATCTTGTGTAAATTTTTTTTTTTTCCGAAATTGGTCCTTAAATACCTACAAATTAGAGACAGAAAATTTTATCGCTAATTGATCGGTAATCTATTGGTAATTTGTCACTAAATTTCTTCGTTTCCCGCCCATTTATACCACCTCAAATTCAAAATTTTTGTAGAAATTGATTGATACTCTATCGATAATTAATTAATAATTTGTCGATAATCAGTCGGTAAATTGTCAAACTAATCACAAATTTATGGCGCGCTTTTTACCGACAAAATATAAATTTATCAGTAAAATTTATCAATATTTTTTCAGTAATTAGTCGCTAGAATTATATAACCTTTTTTCATTCTAAAATTAAATTTTATCAGTAAACAATTGCTAATTTATCGGTAATTACCGACAAAAGCTATCTGTCGGTAAAATTTATTGCTGAATGCTGATTTTTTTTAGTGATATATATATATCAGTTTTTATAAACGTGAGCTACACATTATTTGTATTCGCTGTGCATATTTGTATTTTAATTTTTTTTTTGTCTTTATTTTGTTATCTTAACCCATGGTTATACAGATATAAAAATCTAAAAATATAATGAATATAATAGTGATTAGGTTGAAAAAATCAAAGAAAAATATATAGTATAAAACATTATTAATATCACATAATATCTACAATAAATATAATATCAATTTTTATCATTTAAATAGTACTTAATTTATTATACATTTTACGTTTTTCAAAATCTAATATAATTCTTTTTTGCATCTAATATTAATTTATGTATCTATGTATATCAGGGATGTAAATGTTAAATGTACATAGGTAGCAAAGCTCTATACTACCTCTATTTCTAAATATTTATCACATTTGAGAAAGTATTATGTTCCAAAATACTTATCACATTTGTAATTTCAAGAAATAATAAATTATTTTCTATGTTTACGTGCCATTTATATATGACCAACAACTAGTGCTTCAATTCCTCAAAAATTTGGTGCATGGACATATTAAATTAAGAGTAATATAATTAATTTATTCAATAATTTATATTTAGACAAATTTAATAATTTTTTTAATAGATATAAAATTTCAAATGTGACAAATATTTAGAAATGTAGTATATATTTACCCTTAAAGAGTGGCTCAAACAGGAACCACAATAGAGGCATGTACTCACCCTCAAATAAAAAATTTTATTATAGGGCCAAATTTTTAATTTTAAAAGTTACCCAATACAAAAATTTTAATATTCGAAATATATAAAACCCTAATTAAATATCTCTTTTATTTATTTAGGCATGTCTATATTTACACATGTACATCTTTATGTTTTTGGCCTACAATAAAGTTCGAGCTATATTCACCATTTTTTTTCATTTATAATTTTTCTCGTCAGCTTACACTTCATCATCTATCTCTCTTTCAATGTTATCAATTTTTCTCTTTCTTTTTAATTTACACATTAAAAATATCAATTTTAATATTTAAATGATTAATTACTATTCAATTAAGCATTGTAAAGATTATTCGACAATGGAAAAATTATACAAGTATCAATTTTACTACATAAGGTTGGAAAAAGTAATATAAAAACATAGAGATCAATATATTTAGAAACTAAGTAATGCTTTTTTTTTTTTTTTTTTGGTTCAAATTATCAATTGATATTATTATCAATAGAAAAATAGGAAGTTAATTATAATAATCATGAAAAAAAATTTTAAAAGAAAAATATTAAATAATAGTATAACATCTTAAACATTAGGATAATAGTACTAATAGTTTAGTAATCAAAAAGTCTGTATATAATACAGACACTTGAGCAATTACAGGTGACGTGCATATTTACGACTCTACTATAGAATAAACTAGAGCAGCCGACAGGGAAGGTATATAAATTAGCAAAGCAAAAGACACCATAACTATTAATACAATAACTGCAGCGTGAGTCTCATGAATCCCACAAGACAGCTTTCCAATCTTCATCTCAACCACCATAGCCATAGAAATTGTCAGAAACAGAACGCCAATGATGGATGCTACCGTTGCAAATGCAAACATAAATGCTCTGCCTGCATGAAACAGGTTAAGCTTATCAGGTTTATCATTGTCGTCGTCGTCTGCTGCCTTTGTGTCGGAATAAAAAATGCTTAGATAGACTCTTAGGGCTTTGGCTACTAGACTTGAAAGCAGGAAACAGGAAAACGACACGACTTCATATAGGACAAGTTGTTTCCCCATCTTAACATTCGGGTCACATGCGGGTCGGTTTGTTTCAAGGCTGTGTAGTTGTTCTGGAGATGCAAATGATAAGCCAAGAAATACAGCTACTGTGAAAAGTGAGTTGACGCTGACGAGATCATCCATTGCTTTTATAAGTATGTCTTTTATCTTTTCTGGTTTCCGTAGATTGTTCCTGGAAAAAATAATGCAGCCAAAGTTAAATTTCATTCAAACAGGTACCTTCTACTTCAACTCAAAGAAAGCCAAAAATAAAATAAAGAAACACCTTCCCATGGCAGATTCTGGTTCTTTTACTTGAAATTAGCTCTTTGGGATATAGATCTTGTTTAAGGCGTTGATCTTGCACTTTTGCTTTCAGTTTAGTTCCTTTTATAAGCAAGTCCTGTTTGACTGTTAGGTTTTTCTATTTTTTTTTCCACAGCAGTGAAGAAGAGATTTTTATTCATTGGTTGTCTATAACCGTACACGTTATGCTCACTTGCAACTATAAAGAAAAAAAGTACAGGAAGAAAGAAAGAAAAATAGATATAACCGTTATTATGACAATGAGTTTTTGTTTAGAGCAGGAGATTGGTAGTTAGAAATTTTTAGGTAGATTATGTCTACCATGTCAATTATAGTGGTAAAAAGCTCGGGACAAGCAATCCACAGCCCAACTTATACAACCATCTGATAAATCATAAATCATATAACACTTGTGATCATTTACATCAAGTGAAATAACCAGTTAACTTATTAATTGAGTTGTACCCACTTGCAGAAACCAAACCTGAAATCGAAAGCTCTTCAGGGAGCGGAACGACTGTGTACTGAAATGCAATTTCTTGCACAGGTTATTCTGTTGCATACGTGCAAGCAATTAATCCAACCTTTGATGTTACAGTTTGTAATTTACGTTCTAAAGAAGCTCCAACACTTTAACATATCACGGAAAATCACTTGTTAATTGCGCCTCAGAGAAGTAAAGGTGAAAAAAAGAGGAAAAATCATATAGGAAAAGAACAAGCTTCAGACCCACAACAACCTCATTAAAAGATTGTCGGAATAAAAGGTTGAGAAGATGATACATTATTGTATATAATAATCAATTAAATCCAAAAAAGTGGCGCCTTTCATTGCAAATTACACCACTAAACAGATATGTCCACCCTGTTATAGCAACAAAAGAGAGAGGAAAAGGATTTGGGGGATGAGAATACTTTAGAAGTTACTAGTTGTCACTCTCATTCCGCTTCATTCATCAACACGTGGAGAGATTTATTATAGATACAAGAGAGTCCAAAATAATTGCCATCCTATTCTAGCCCTTTATCATCTAGAAACCATACGACAAACGGGGCTTTTTCCCAAACTAGTGTTATGCAAAACATTATTTCCGAAAACGGTATTATGTGAAAAATATTTACTTAAATGGTGTTCAATTCACATTTAGAAAGTTTTTGTTCCAGTCATGCATTGTTATACTATGATTGCAACAAAAGCAATAAATTTTAATTTGTTTTAACGGACATCTGATATTTTTACAGGTCAATATTCTCTCTCATTTCTCCTTGTTGAATGTTACACTGTAAGTTTTGTCACAATATAAAAAATAATGTATTCTTTGGCGACATTTCCACCCAAATGTTCAACTGTTACACTGTAAGTGTAAAAATTTATAGGTGAGATTCCCACGCCTCTCATCGTTTGCAAAACATATTGTAAACAAAACAAATATAGAAAATTTTTCAATTACTAGTTTCAAAAATGAGACACCTCTTACACCTAACACAAGAATATTTTTCTTCCCTATAAACATCTCTTTCATGGCATCAAATGTTTACGTGAATTGTGTAAACAAAACATATTGTTACACTAACAACAACACAATATATATTTTATAGTTGTAGGTTGTTACAATATAAGTGTAACAAAGCAATAATTTTTTGGTCATTAACTGTAGCACATATGGAACTGTGCAAGAATTTAAGCGGTGGAAATCTCGCCAAATAATATATTCCTTCTGAAATTGTGAAATTGTTTCACTTATAATGTAATATTCAACTCAAGGAGAGAAGAGAAAAAATATTATTATGTAAAACTGTTGGACAACGTTGAAAAAATTGAACTTCATTACTTTTGTTTCAGTTACAGTGTAACAAATACATTGCTATATCACGTGTTTGTTACACTACAACTAGAACAAAAGCATTTGAAATTCAATAGAACACCATTCTCTTAAATATTTTTCATAGATTACCGTTTTCGGAAATAGTTTTTTCATAACATCAATTTGGGAAAAAGCCCCGACAAACATTGTACCATATCATCTAGGAAATACAAGATACGATTCTAGCATATAAATGGAATGACCCAAAAACCTATTTCTAGCCCCATAGATAGAAAGACTCAAATTATAGACTTTTCAATGCTCCCCCTTAATTTGAGATCTTTTGCAGTCCAATACTATCACGCAATCTTCTGAAATCTTAAAATTTGAGTGCTTTTGCAAAAACATCTGCAATTTGAGCTTGTGTGTTCATCTATTGAGCGTCACTTATTTCTTGGCAACATTCCATAATGAAATGGTACCTTGTAACTATTGTTGGAAAAATCGCTATTTTTCCCGCCCTTCGGATCGGCTTCAAGCAGGAACAAATGAGAAAATAAAATAATAACTGAGAAATTAAAGAGAACACTTCCCGCCCTTCGGATCGGCTTCAAGCAAGGACCAAATGAGAAAATAAAATAATAACTGAGAAATTAAAGAGAACAACGATAGTTAACGTGGAAAACTCCCAAGTGGAGAAAATTGTTAACAACCACAATTTACAAAATATTTTTCTACCGACCCCTCAAAACACCCCAAATATTTTTATACTCCAAGGGACTCCAAAGAGACTTGCTCTAAACCCTAATAATAAACACATTCAATGTATTTTTGGTGGTGTTTTTGGGTGTGTTTTGGAAAAGCTAAACATTAGCTTCCTCTAAATCGCATTCATCTTCGGTTTGCACTCCAAGAGTTTCCAATTCAGAGACGATGCTGTTAAGAACACTCAGGTGATCTGACAGCTTTGTACCTTCTGCCAATTTCAACGTATGAAATTGCTTCTTCAAATATATTTTTTCCCTGGTACAATTCTTCCAGTTTCTCCCACAACTCTTTTGTCGTGGACAATCCAAGCACATTAGTAAGAACATTTTTGCTAGACACATGCAAATTTGACTTGCCGCTTTGATATCCAGCTCCTCCCATTCTTCATCGCTAATCTTGGATTTTTCTGAGTCTCTACTGCCACTGTCTTTTCTTGAATTCTTTCCGCTGACTGGTTTACCCTGCAAAACCTTATGCAGTCCAGACTGAATCAATACGTCTTTGACTTGCACTTGCCACAGTGCAAAATTCATTCTCCTGTCAAGTTTCTCAATCTCACATCTCATAGCCGACTTCTCAATCTCACATCTCATAGCCGACATGCTTACTTGTGCTTATAACAGTGAACCCAATAATTAGTGAAGTAAACCGATTCAGCGATACTCAGGAAAGACCACAATGATCTCCTAGACAGTATTACCATTCCACGTAAAATCCCAGTTGGGAGGAGGGGTCACAAGTGGTCCCACTTAAAATCCGGCCTTCTAGACAGAAGTTACGTGCACGGTATATTATCTGAACTTTCGTACCAGAATAACTTCAATAATGTACTCAAGCACACCAAAGCAAAGCTCCACCTGCTTCAAGACTTTCAAAACTCCACTTGCTTTTAAAATAAAATATTTCTAACAACAGTATTTCTGATGTGGAAGATCAGACTAAGCCGCAACCACAGAGCATACTTATAATTAAAGAAATTATTTTAACACTAAAAAGCTCGCCTAACTAACTAGGCTCTGATACCCCTTGTTGGGAAAATCGCTATTTTTTCCCGCCTTCGGATCGGCTTCAAGCAGGAACAAATGAAGAAATAAAATAATAACTGAGAAATTAAAGAGAAACGATAGTTTTAACGTGGGAAAACTCCCCAAAGTGGAGAAAAACCACGGCCGTTGTCAAACGACAATCAAGAAAATATTCCCCACTATGGCGGCAAATTGTTTAAAACCACAATTACAAAATATTTTTTCTACCCGACACCCTCAAAACCCCCAAATAATTTTATAACTCCAAGGGGAACTCCAAGACTTGTTAAATCCCTAATTATAAACACATTCAAGTATTTTTTGGTGTGTTTGGAAAGCTAAACATTAGCATCCTTTTCTAAAAACCAACCTACCCTGCAAATCTCCAATCTCCCCGATGTGGGATTTGAGCAAAAGTTAAATTTTATATTTTTTTTTCTTTTTAATTTTCAACATTCAACAACAGGAGGCTAACAATCTCCACCTTGAAAATAAAATAAAAAAACACAATATTGTCTGCTACCAACAATCATAATTCTTAATCGTCAAAGAATTATCATAACTCCACCATAAAAGAGTATCGCCACTTGGAACCACTTTTACGACTCCAAAATTTTCCATGCGGCCATGTCGGTATCCCGCTAATAGTTTTATGGGTGCAACCCTCCTGTTCACTTTTCCGAGAGTTCATTAGCATCGACATATTTTTTTCTACCACAACACTTTGCATTCCCAACTTCACCAATGCCGTGTCTCTTTCCGTGGACCAGCTACACATAATCCGTCCTCTTCCATGGCAATCCTACGGGTAGCAATCATGCCATGAGGAACACAACATCTCTCATTACAGGAGAACACATCATCTCCTTGCACAGGAGATCACATTGGCCAGCAACAACGTTAGAGCTTCTAGCCGAATCGCTCCATCGTTCGAGTTCAATCCTTCCTCACGTGTCCCAGTTTGACCAAAACCCCCAGCAGACAACCTCCTCTTTCTGGAGGCTTTTATTCTTTTTCTTGGTACCGACAAATAAAAGCTGAATGCCTCAATATGGATTTTATTTTTCATTTCATTCAGTCTTCTCTCCTCAGTAAGTGAAGCTTCCTAACCACATCCGCATACACCACTTCTTACTACAATATTCAGAACAGGTTTCATTGTGCTCATATGTCGAAGGAAGTGGCAGCAATGAGTCGGAGAGCTTTTACAATCTTCACTCTTCGGTTTGCACTCCAAGAGTTTTTCTAACTTCAGAGACGAATGCATTAAGACACTCAGATGCTCTGACAGCTTTTGTACGCTTCCGCCATTTTCAACGTAATGAAATTGCTCGCTGTGTTTCAAATAAACTTATTGGATATATTTTTGCATGGTACATTCTTTCCAGTTTCTCCGCCACAACTTCTTTGTTCGTGGAACAAATGCCAAAGCAACATTAGCAAAGAACATTTTTTGCTAACCATGCGAATTTGACTTGCCTGCTTTGATATCCAGGCTCCTCCCATTCTCATCGCTAATCTTGGGATTTTTCTGAGTCTCCATGCTACGTCTTTTTCCTGATTCTTTCCGCTACTGGTTTACCACCCTTCAAACACACTATATGCAGTCCAGATTGAAATCAACACGTCTTTGACTTGCACTTGCCACAGTGCAAACTTCATTCTCGTCAAATTTCTCCAATCTCACATCTCATAGCCGACATGCTTGCTTGTGCTTAATAACAGTTGACCCAATAATTAGTGAAGTAAGACGATTCGGCAATACCAGGAAAGATCACAAACTGATCTCCTTAGACAATATTACCATTCCACGTAAAATCTCAGTTGGACCGGAGGGGTACAAGTGGTCCAACGTTAAATCCGGCCTTCTAGACATGAAGTTCCATGCCGGTATAATTATCATAATAGAAATATAACTTCAATAATTATCGTCAGGACCTTCACCACCGATACTCAAGCACACCAAAGCAAAGCTCCACCCGCTTCAAGACTTCCAAAACTCCGCCTGCTTTTAAAATAAAATAATTTCTAACAACAGTATTTCTGATGTGAAAGATCAGACTAAGTGGCAACCACAGTGCATACTTATAATTTAAATTACAAGAAATTATTTTAACACTAAAAGCTCCGCCTAACAACTAGGCTCTCATACCACTTGTTGGGAAAATCACTATTTTCCCGCCCTTCGGATCGGCTTCAAGCAGGAACAAATAAGAAAATAAAATAATGACTGAGAAATTAAAACACGATAGTTTAACGTGGAAACTCCCCAAGTGGAGAAAAAACCCGGCCCGTTGTCAAACGACAATCAAGAAAAATATTTCACTATGCGGCAAATTTTACAACCACAATTACAAAATATTTTTTACCCGACACCTCAAAACACCCCAAAATATTTTATATCCAAGGGACTCCAAGAGACTTGCTCAAATTCCCTAATATAAAACACATTTCAAGTATTTTTGGTGGTGTTTTGGTGTGTTTGAAAGCTAAACATTAGCTTCCTTTTATAACACCAAACCCCACCTACCCTCCAAATCTCAATCTCCCCCGATTGTGGGATGAAGCAATAAACATTAGCTTCCTTTTATAACCAAACCACCTACCCTCAAATCTCAATCTCCCCGATGTGGGATTGAGCAAAAGTTAATTTTATATTTTTTTCTTTTATTTTCAACATTCAACAAAGTAGGCTAACAACTATATGCTTCCTTCTATCGTGGAATACAGGATTCCTTGCAAGAACTTGTTGCAGACTGGTTGTCGATGCAAATTTCAGTAGCTTCTACTGATGGCACCTGAAATTCCATTAACAATCTTCTAACATGACAAGTGCACGAAGTTGCTGCCACATATTCTGATCCACAAGTTGATTGATTGTTCATTCTAATTTAATTTATTATTCTTCATTTATCAGTGTTATAGATATTATAGGATGTTTATGTGTCGTTGACCATATCGAGATTATTGTAAATTAATGTAGAGGTTTTTTTCTTTTTAGTATAACTGAAAAGTGTAATCCCTTTAAACCGGAGAGCATAAAGGTTTTTTTGCCTTCCAGCAAAGTGCGTTTCTCGAAGATCGAACTTGTAACCAAATACAATACATATATTCCAAGTGCAATAACTAGTAGCTATGTTCAACTGTGGCTAGAATTAATTAAGAACACATAAACACAGAGAAAAAAGAGAAATAAACAATTAACCAATGTCAAATAAAGTCCAATACTTAAGAATACATCTCACGCACCACAAAAAAAAAAAAGAAAAAAAAAAAGCCTATTCCTTCATTCTTTATTTGCTTTTCTTTTTCTGTTATAAGAAATTTGGACAAGTTAAAACAAACCTATGCCGTGAGAGAATAGAAAACTGCAAGCGACATGGAAACCAAATATGTTAACAAACCAAACGGCACAAGTACTGTCAATGCCATTATTGCAGCTTGAGTCTCTGTAATACCGCAAGACAGCCTTCCAATCTTTATTTCAACAACATAAGCCATTGAAATTGTCAAAAACAACACTCCAAAGATCGAGGCCAGCATTGATAAAGCAAACATTAATCCTTTGATGGGGTGAAATACTCTACCTTCTTTTAAAGGATCAGCTGCATCAGCATTAAGCGATGAAGACTGAGGATCTGATCTGAAATTTTGAGTTATGCTAGTAGCAGCAGCATTCGATGAAGATTGAGGTAAATTAGTGTCGCTACTTGTAGACTCGGATTTATAAGAATAAAAAATGTTGATATAAACTTTCATTGATTTGGCTACAAGACTTGACAGGAGGAAGCTGGAAAACGACACTACTTCACATACGACAAGTCGTTTCCCCATTTTCTCGTCTGGGTCGCAATGGGGTCGGTGAGTTTCGAGGCTATGTTGATCTGGAGATGCAAAAGCAAGTCCTAAAAATACAGCTACGGTAAAGAGTGAGTTTACGCTTACAAGATCATCAAGTGCCTGTAGAAGTAAGTCTCTAATTGGCAATGCTTCCTTACTTGTTTCACTGAAACGACATAGTTTTAATTTCATTACGTACATTATAAGTAACAAAAGAATAATGTAAAATACTGATAGAAAACAAATGTGTAATATTCAATATAATTTTTATCAGCAAATTAATTTATTATTTTAATATAAACCAAGAAAAACTAAAACTGTTTGCAAGAATCAGTGGACTCGAAACCAAAACCGAAAGCACCAGTTTCGGTCTCGGTTTCAAGCCTCAGGAACCTGAAACCACCGATTCAGAAAACCCACTGCCCTAAAACGAACACTTTGATATATTATATTCACCTGGCCATTGCAGATATTTTGTTATTTTCCTTCCTTCCTTCCTTCCTTCCTTCTTCTTCTTCTTTATTTTTTTCTTTGTTGGAACTGGGATTTCTTGAATATTGTTATGAATTTAGTTCTTTAAATTTATATGTATCACAAAGTAGATTCTGTCGTTTATCACATTTTTCTTTTTGTTCCCCTTCTTTTACGAAAGGCATCATTATATTATCTTAATTAGTATTTTTTACGTTCTAGTTTTAGTACTTGTACCATATATTGCTGATTCAATTACATATAATAAAGCTAAATATACATTTTCGTTTCATTTTAGCCTTACCAATTGTAAAAGCTACGGTTATTGTAGTTATTTTTTCTTTGTTCAATTAGCTAATTTAATATGCTGTATAGTTCTTAAAAGACAACTAGTTGTAAACAACCTCCATATGTTTAATTTGAAATTATATAATAGATGTTACTAATGCACTTCTATTTGAAGCATTCATATGTTTACAGAAGAGGGGATGACAAAAAGCAAAGAAAGCAAAAGAAAGAGAGCTCATAGGCCCAGGATTATTCCTAGTTAGGGCTAAAGCTCAAAGTGGTAGTAGTGACTTGTTTGTAGGCTTTACTAAGAACCGTCCGATCAAGGGTGTGTTGATTAATTTTTATTACCAACCGCTAATTAAATCCTACACCTTCATCTCAAGTCATAAATAGTCGATAAAAAGTGAAAGTTAAACAAAATGAAAGAACAGAAAAAAAATTAACAGAAGAAAGCACAAGAGAATACCTACTGTTTTATTATCGTAAAGCTAACAATTCAATAGTTCAATCCTTAAGGCTAAACCGGGAAACACATTTTATTGTGAGGGTAAAAAATATTCGCACTCTGTTTGGATGGAGATACATTTTTGAAGGAATCAAAATATCTATGGAAAGTAAGTTTACCTTGTTTGGAAAAGAATGAAAAATTTATTTGTTTTCCTCCATCTCTCCATTTGGGAGAGAAAATAACGGTGGAGTGCTGAAATTTCTCCAATTTTCACGCAATTACCGAGATACCAAGACTATTTTTAATTAAATATCGAAGATGTTAAAGTTATATTATCATCAAAATCCTCTAAAAGAATAAATGGGGTTAAAATGGTAATACGAAAAATATTATAAATCATAAAAATTTGAACACCTTATTAGCTCTAGAACTTAAGTAAGACGAAAGTATCCAAATTATTAACATTAATAATAGCTAAGCAATCGAAAAGTGTACATAATAGAGACAATTAAGAATTGAAACCCCAAATTATCTTTAAAAAAACAGGCGCCATGCATATTTATGGCTCTATTACACAATAGAGTAGAGCAGCCGACAAGGAAGGTATATAAATTATCAAAGCAAAAGGCACAATGGTTGTTAATGCAATAACTGCAGCTTGAGTCTCATGAATCCCACAAGACAGCTTTCCAATCTTTATCTCAACAACCAAAGCCATAGAAATTGTCAAAAACACGACACCAACAATAGATGCTAACATTGATAATGCAAACATTAATCCTCTACCTGCATGAAACAGGTTATATTTCTTCTTGTCGTTTAAATCAGGTTTTCCAGGATTGTTGCCGTTTACTGCCTTTGTGTCGGAATAAAAAATTCTTAGATAAACTCTGAGGGATTTGGCTACTAAACTTGAAAGCAGGAAACTAGAAAACGAAACGACTTCATACAGGACAAGTCGTTTCCCCATCTTAACACTGGGATCACATTCAGGTCGGCTTATTTCAAGGCTGCGTTGGTTTGGGGATGCAAACGATAAGCCAATAAATACAGCTGCTGTGAAAAGTGAGTTGACGCTAACAAGATCATCTAATGCTTTCATAAGTATGTCTTTTATCTTTTCGGGACTTTGCAGACGGTTCCTGAAGGGAAAAAGAAATTAAATTTCATTCAAATAGTCTTCTTTTAGTTCAACTGCAAGATAATATTTAATGGCAATAACAAAAGAGAAAAAACAAATAGAGAAACACCTTCCCATGGCAGAGTCTGGTTCTTTTTCTTGAAATTAGCTCTTTGGAATGAAGATCCTGTTGCAAGGTTTTTGATTTGTTGATCATGAACTTTGCTTTGAGAGTTTAATGTTTTTTTTATAAACAGGCCAATTTGACTGTCAGGTGGTTTCGTGTTTCTATTTTTGCCCATCCGATTGATGAAGTGAAGAAGTGAAGAAGAGATTTTTATTCATTTGTTATCTGACATTTAATTTGACGAATTTCTATATATGATACAATAACTTGTGCTATGCTCACCGACAACTATTAAATAAAATCAAATAACGTAAGATAGATATGTTATTATATTTCCAATTGCCCTTTCATCAAGGTCTGTAGAATGTCAGTGTTCTTGCTATTATCATGTTTCATTTTTCCAAAATAATGGGAGAGCATAGCTTCTAAGTCATACATATTGCCATGAATTACAGGATATAAGATAAAGCTTCCCTTTTCTAATTTTTACCATAAAAATGAAAACTCTATCTATATTTCTTAAAGAATATAGAATACTTATCTACACTTGTTGTATGGGTTGAACCATACATCAAGCTAATCTAATGAAGACACACAGGACAAATGATGTTATTATTGATCATTCACCGTAAGAAAAGGACAAAGAAGTCCTAAAGGCTTAAGATATATCAAATATTTATTCATTGGTATTTTCCATATGGAAATTTCTTGCTTACGCCTCGTAAGAAAAGGACAAAGAAGTCCTAAAGGCTTAAGATATATCAAACATTTATTCATGGTATTTTCCATATGGAAATTTCTTGCTTACGCCTCGTATACGGTGGTTTCATACACCAAGCCAATTAATTTTTTTTTAATTTTTATTGACTTTTTTTACAAGTATATGGTAAAAAATATTCTCGTTTGAATCAAAATATTTTTTTTTTGCAAATTTGTGTTTTTTTATCTTTAGGAATTATTCCCTTCCTTACTTAGAACAGTTCTCACTCAAATGATACACTCCTCAAGAAAAAAAAAAAAAAAAAAAAAAAAAAAGAACAGTTCCACTCAAATGATTACACTCCTCAAGAAAAAAAAAAAAAAAAAAAAAAAAAAAAAAAAAAAAAAAAAAAAAAAAAAAAAAAAGCTCTGGCTTGATAAAATGTTGTTTTTATAACTGCATTGCTGATATGGTGCTGCTCAATATTTGTGGAGCCACTTTTTAATAATGAATGGCTGCCTCAATCAGATTTTGATGGATGCTGTATTGAAGCTACAATTGTGAAGGAAAAATCAGTATACGATTTTAAAATTAAACAAAAATTGCAAAAAATTTGTAGTGCAGAAAATTTTGAGTGGATTGTATCTCGATGGACTCATGTTGAGCCATTGTATACTCGTTAAATGGCCTTTATCACTTGAGGGAATGTTAGAATATACTTAAATATAAGAAAAGATCATGGTATATAATGAAGAAGGTAAATCAATTTATTATAAATCCACTTATTAAATGAATTTGACTAACAATTTAACAATAATAAATTAGAATTTAATGTTTTTATTTTTTCAGGTTAGGTCTGAGTGTATAGAAAGTTCTGCTGGTTTGAGCTTATATATTTGAAAATGTTAAATTTTTCCTGGTTTTATAATAATAAATTAATTAATTTTGCGGATAAAGAAAATATTGACTAACTATACCAAAGAGTGTTACACATTGTCTTCAATTGCATGACAATTGTTCCTAATTAAGTTTAAAATTAAAAGAACATGGACGTTCTAACTGGGCTATTACATTAAAGATTATCTTGAGTTATCATATAATGATCCTTTTTAACCACAAAAGAGACTAATCAAATACAAGATATGCCAAGTGCAATACACAAAGAAAAAAAGAATTGAACAACTATGATCCAATATCGAATAAAGTCCAAGATTTGAGAATACATCAATCATCACACACCAGAAAAACACAAGAAAAAGAAAAAGAAAAAGAAAAACTCTCTTTCTCTTTTTTTTTTAAAAAAAAAATTCCTTGATTCTTTATTTCCTTTCCTTTTTCTATTATAAGATTTAGATTAATGAAAACAAATCTATCCTCTGATAGAGTAAGCAAGAGCAGCGGACATGGAAGACAAATAAATTATCAAACCAAAAGGCACAAGTATTATCAATGCCATTACTGCAGCTCTAGTCTCTGTAACACCACAAGACAGCCTTCCAATCTTTATTTCAACAACATAAGACATTGAAATTGTCAAAAACAACACTCCAATGATCGAGGCCAGCATCGATAATGCGAACATTAATCCTTTAAAGGGGTGAAATTGAGCTTCGTCCATGGTAGACTGCGCCTTTTTATTAGAATAGTAAATGTTGATATAAACTTTCAGTGATTTGGCTACGAGACTTGACAGGAGGAAGCTAGAAAATGACACTACTTCAGATACGACGAGTCGTTTTCCCATTTTCTCGTCTGGGTCGCAATGGGGTCGGTGAGTTTCCAGGCTATGTTGATTTGGAGATGCAAAAGCAATTCCTAAAAACACAGCTACTGTAAAGAGTGAGTTTACACTTACAAGATCATCAAGTGCTTGTGGAAGTATGTCTTTCAGCTTGCCATTGCCAGAGCTTCCATTGCTACTTTCCCTGAAACGACATAGTATTAAGTCCATTACATATATTATAAGTAGGATTATATAACATTACCTAAAAAAAAAACAAACAAACAAACACTGGAAGAATATATATATATATATATAATATATATATATAATACAGTTTGCAGTATATATATATATATATATATATACAGTTGCAGACCCCATTATAGATTTCTCGCAATTTTTTTTTTGTCTTTCGGGCTGGGTTATTAATTAGTTGGGTGAGTTACTATGATCATGAGTTCAGTTCTTTGTGTTTATATATATCGCAAAGTAGATTCTGTTGTTTATCACGTTTTTTTTTTTTTTTCCGTCTTCTACGAAAGGCATCAGCATATTAAATTCAATTGGTAATTTGTTTTGTTTTGGTTTCTAGTTCTAGTACTGTTATTATTGTCATTCAACAGCATATACTAAAGCTCAATTATATAAATAATTTTGATTCTCGAAAAATATACTTAATTGAAAATTGAAAGCCTAAATATTTCTAGGCTATACTATCCAAAGGAGGTTTGTCCATACTAAAAAGTGGAGGAACACCTTGATTTTACACATAAAAAAGCTAAATATATGTTTCATTAATTATTTTTTTTATTAATTAGTTTTACAAATTTTAAGAAGCTATAGTTTTAATTTATTGGAGCTAATTTAACGTAATCTTATTTTTTTATTAGCAATTTAATATAAAGTTCTTAAAAGACAAAGGTTAATTTCATAAAAATTTTCTTTTTTTTTCTTTAATTTTCACTAGTATTCTTATATTTTTTTGATATATATGAAACTAATTTTATTTTGAGATTCATGACTTTCCTCATTTTTCATAAATATTTTTCCATAATCAAATTTATAACTTTGCAAAGATGGTCTACCGAACTCGAGCATATGTTACTGCTTAAGCAACATCTCATACGTCAAAATTTTTTGTAACCAATAAATATAAACAACATAAAGAGTACATTTACTTTTAATTCAACATATAATTGATCTTACTAATGCATTCCTATTTGATGAATACATATTTACAGGAGCAAACGACAAAAAGAAAAAAAAGTAAAAAGAAGACAGCTCATAGGCCCAAGGATTATTCTTAGTTAGGGCTAAAGCTCCAAGTGGTATAACTGGGACTTGTTTGTAGCCCCTTAATAGGAACCGCTCGATCTTGGGTGTGTTGATGAATTTTCATTCTCAACCATTAAATCCTACCATCTTATTAATCAAGTCACAAAAAAGTTGAATAAAAGTGAAAGTGAAAATTTTTTGCAGAAGATGAAGGAAAAGCTAACTGTGTTGGCAGATTGAAAGCTCCATGACCTTATGAAACAGTAACATGGTGAGCCCAAAATCATATATCAATAAACGTCGAAAAATAATATTCGAAGCAAGGTATAACCCAAAATCCAAAGTAATTCCACAGGAACAAGACGCACTAATGGGAAGAACACTGATAACTCCTTGTGATGCATGAAAACTTCAAGCTATGGTCGCGTTTCTACGCTTTCTCGTTTCCATTTCTGTGCAACATAGATAACTTAGGGTAAATAATTTTGACTGCAGAATTTTAATGGGGATCAAGACTAGTTTCTAGGTTCTACTCGTATAACTGCAGTGCAGGCCAGCGTTGTTGCGATCCTTGAATCCAAAGCGATCACCAAATGTGGCCCTTTCCTAGTAAAATATCAATGAAAGGAAAATATGTATTATTTTTCTTCTGGATCCATAAAATAAAAAAAAAAAATCTAAAACAAAGAAAAAAAATGATGAAGAAACCGACAAAAATGTATTGTTTAGTATGAAATAGATTTTATTATTTTCCTTTTAAAAAATAAATAGATAAAATGAGAGATGAAATTGAATAAAAAAGTGAAAGGGACAAAACAAAAAAAAAAAAAAAGAACATAGAGACGTTGGATTGTTACAAGAATTTTCTAGAATAGATGAAGTGGCAAATAGCGAATGGTTTAAAAAATAAAAAAGGACTAGGTTGATTAAAAGGATAAGATAAAAAGGTTGAAGTGGACTGGGTACGTGGTTATAACCTATAACGTGCAAATATATGATCTTGAGTTTATTTGAATTTTGATTAATTAATATTAAAAAGTCAGTACTACCGAATTAGTTAGTTAGTTTACCATCTTTGTATATCTTTTGTAGATTTTATAATTAATCGATATAAGATTTTTGTAGATTTAATATTTAGTTGATATAGGATTTATTTTTTTTTATCGGCAAATATAATTTTATTTTATTAATTAAACATATCCAGGAAAAACTTAGCAAAACGAAGGAATTATTTCCGAGCCAATAGGAACCTAAATACATCTAATCCTACTTGAAAATATTAAGTGAAAAAATTTGGAGAACCTCAAAAAAATAAAACAAAATTCTCTTAGAGATAATAAAAAATGAAATTAAATCCAAAATTGAATCAAATCAAAGTACCCATGAAAATCAAAACTAATTATGACCCGATCCTCGTATATCCAAATTGAAGAACCTGTGCTCTAACCTTTGACCAAAGCCACCTAACCAAAACAAAAGTATAACCAAGCCAAAAAAAGGTTATGCAGAAATTACTCTTTTTTTAGCTAGATTATCTGCAAAACTATTTATTTCTCTATTAACGTGTTTGAATTGGAAGGAAGACAAAGAACCAAGAAGACTGTCAAACCTATTGAAATCGTACCACCATCTCAAAGGGCAATGTTCATGTTGAGAAACCCAGCTCAAGACAACTCTAGAATTCATCTCAAAAATAATTAGAATTTTGGCAAATTCTGAACAAGTATAAAACTCAACAGTTTTTAACAATGCAATAACTCAACCACATTTGAATCTTCTAAACGGATGGATTCATAAAAAACACATAAACCCTTGTGAATTCCTCTACACCTCAAATATCCGCTGGTTCAAGCTTTCCTAAGGCAAACCCATCTGTGTTGAATTTAAGAGTCCCTTCTTAAGGAGGAACCCGACATTTTGAAATTACTGGTAAAACAGCTTGAAATACATTGCTCTTTGACACTAACAAAGGATACATACTCCAATCATTTAGGCTATAAGGAAGAGAAGGGAACTTAACTTTCAAAATCTCAAAACTTCTAATTTGAAATCCTTCTACAACTTGATCAACTTCCTGTAATTCGTTTGAGAATACCAACTACATAATCAAAGTGACCAAGTTGTTATAAAGAATATAATTAACCATGTAAACTTTAGGCCCTTGAATTGTAACAGAAAATCCCATTGCCACCCCAAGTTAGTAAAGGAAGTTGGAAGAACAATTCTCACACCCCACCATTGAAAGATAGCATTCCAGATTTTTTTCACAAAAATGCAGCCAAGCTATACATGGTTTGAATTTTCAACTGATGCCCTGCAAAAAGAACATGAACACTCTTCAAGCTTCAAATGCAACCCCTTTAAATAAATTCTCCTTAGATGAAATCCTATTAAGAAAAGCTTTCCACAAAAAGAGAGAAATTTTTGGAGGAACACTGTTAACCCAAACCAATTGAAAATTAAACTCAGAAACTTGATCACCAATCTCAGCGTCTTCCATTAAACTACACAAGCTCTTGACTGAAAAGGAATCGTTTTTGTCAAAAATTGAAACTAATTTATCATCTCTATTAGGCATAATCGAAGTATTATCTAATGAAGACTTGAGCTGAACCAACAAATCAATTTCAAAAGACCTCATCTCCCTTTGCCAACGCAAATTCCACTTCCAAAGCCCATTTTCAATATATCCACAGTCACAAACGAAAGCTCTTTTCAAGCTGCTTATTCTGAAAAGCCTAGGAAATGAGATTCTCAATGGAGCGTCTTCTAACCAAATATCCCACCAAAATCTAACATTTTACCACTGCCCACTAACCATTTAAAGTCTCTTTTAATAAAACCATTGGCTGAATTTTCATTTGCACCTAAAGACACCATTTCCTGCCAGTAGGGGCAAAGTTTTCTCCATATGGATGCCTCCACATTAGATTGTAATAAGGCTTCCTTCCCATTTTTAGAGATCAGAATCTTTTTCCACAGTGAACCTTTCTCTCTTTTAAAATGCCACCTAATGCAGAACGGTTACATGATTGAGAATAAACGATTATACTCCGTCAGGAGTTTTGATCAATGTCATTTGATCTAATGAATAAAATAGAGAACTAAACTCTCAAAGAGGTTTATTGATATGAATAATGATCAAAGATAATGAGTCTGTCAATAATACAAAATAACTTATTTATAGTTTTAAAGAGGTTTATTGATATGAATAATGATCAAAGATAATGAGTCTGTCAATAATACAAAATAACTTATTTATAGTTTTTAGGTTAAAAGTCATAAAACCTTAAAAATAACACTAAATCCATAAATAGACAAAACCCTAGTGAGGGAGGGGGCACGGGCGTGCTAGAGAGAGCATGGACGTGCTTGAACTCTCAGAGGCTAGCACGGGGCGTGCTTGGCATGACACGGGCGTATCGGAACTCAAATCGTAACTGGACCCATTGGCACGGGCGTGCTTGGCATGGCACGGGTGTGCTTGGACTCTCAAGGGCTAGCACGGGCAGACTGGCTATGACACGGGCATGCTTGTGTTCAGGGTTGTCTCGTGTAACGCCCCAAAATTTTCGAATCTTAAAATGATTTAGCGAGTAATATGTTTTTTTTTTCCGTAGATAATCATTTCATTTCTTTTCATCTCTTTTTTTTAAAGGGAAATTCTTACAGTATTTCTGTAGGATTTTTCCCAATTTATTTTTCAAAAAAAAAAAAAATTTATTTTTCAAAAAAAAAAAAAAAGAGATGAAAACAAAATGAAATGATTATCTACTAAAAAAAAAAAAAAAAACATTATTAACTCGCTAAACTTGTTAAATACTCAATTACTTCTAATCATAATCTTTATTTTTATGATTTGTATGTTAATTAAGACCGGTAATCTTATTTTATGATTTGTATGTTAAGTTAAGACGGTGTCTCCGGCACCGAATGTGGCATCCGTCGTCGGGTCTCACGGGACTAGGCGGAGAGTGTTACATCTCGCTCCCTGAACTTCTAGAATCTAGCATGGGCGTGCCCTGAACTTACAGATTCTGGCACGAGTGTGCTTGGAAATGACACGGCCGTGCTTCTGCTCCTTAGGCTGGTAGCTGCCCAATTCTCTCACATATCAGCCCGCAAGATGCTCCGCATCATTCCGCTCCACTTGAAAAGATTTAGATCTCGAGTGATCATCGTCGAGGTA